TTTATTAGCAGCTTGATAAACACTAACTACATAGGTTGTGTCATAAAGTTTGTTGAGGTTAATCTTAGAAATAATTTTTAAATAGATTGTATATTTGCTTTTGTTAGAGAGACATCCTATTTGAATTTCTTATAGAATATTGTAGAAGTCAGTATTGTTATATTGTCATTAAGGTATAGTTAAAAGTAAAAAAAAAGAATTTTTTCTATGCAGGGGATTGAAAAATATAATATGGTCAGACTAGAGGTAGTTGAGCTAGATCACCTATTAGTAAAGTGGATATTCCTTTAAATACAATGTTGTTATCATGAATATTTGCAAAAATATTACTAACAAATATTAATAGATCAGTATTAACTATTGAAATTTCTTTAATTAAAATAGCTTCTATTTTTTTTAGATTAAATTTATAATAATCATTATGGTATCTGATCTTTAAAGCTAAATAGATAGTTTTTCTGCCAATATATTGAGTAGCAATACTGGTCAAGACAAGTAGAAGATATTTTTTTCTTTGACTAAAGAAGATGGATTATTTGAAATATCATAAATGTTTTACTAGTTCTAGCAGAACATGTCAAAAAAAAATATAGATATTTTTTATCTTGTAGTTTACCTCATATATTACAGAGTGTATTATAAATCTGGTATTGTTTGGTATTAAGGGTTAGAGAAGATTTGGTATTGAGTTGAAGGTAATATTTTTTCAACATGAGTAGTTGAGTAAGAATTAGATAGAGTAGACTTTGATTAAAAAAGTCAGGTAAAAGTAAATTTAACATTTGATTGTATAAATTTGATAAGGCATTTTCATATTCTATAAAGATAATTTATTATTTGATTATATTTTATAGGAAATATAAATTGAAAGCATTCTCTATAGATAGTAAATTTGCCTAACAATTCATTATCTGATCTTGTTAGAATTTTTATAAGAAGATATTAAAAAAAAAAGATTTGCCATCTTCTACTTTATACAAAGCAAATTGCAGTAGAATAGAGAATTTACGTTGAACTATTATTCTGTTTTTATAATCTCAGAAGTAAAATAAAGTCAAACAGAAACCAGGATGTTTGGATTTTTTTTTTTTAATATTAAGGTAACCACTTTGGGTCTTGCACAGTTTATTAACTTCACAGGTCAATTATCAGAATACCGAATAGGTACCTCTTGACTTTGTTACATCGATGAGAGTACAATTGGCCACATGCACAACTTTAGTCATTGCCTATTTAAAGGCTCCACTATATCTATTTCTATCTATAGTTACCCACCAATTGTCATACCTAAGATCCGCTTGTGGATCTCCTATTTAAACCCTCTAATCAACTTAATACTATCAGATGCTTTTCCCAGAAAAATTCCTGCCGCTAAGGCCCCTTAGGACTACTTTATCCTCGTAGTAAACCTACCAGAGTGGTTCATGTCTCACACATATATCACCTGGGTTTTTCGGTAACTTACACCCAATACAAGGACTGGTACTTGCAACTTTTATGGCCCCTACCATTACCTACTTCTTGCCCTTACAAGGTTTGTTCTAATCCTGATATCCACTTTCAACCGGTCTTTATACCGATCTCTCCTCAACTACCAAACCAGTTAGCTCGGAAAGGTTGTTATACCTAGGCTCTAAGTGCCTTCTGGTTTTACTTCTCTTGGTACTGAATTCTGTAGCATTGGACCTTTTTCTCTGGTGTGACTCCAGTGGCCAGGTTGGCAGACCCTTCTTGCTCAAGGGTTGTTCGTCTGGTTTTTTGGTCTCCAGTTCTGATTTTCCATAGTATCGTTAAAGATCTTTACTACTTCTAGCTTGGGTCTTGCCAAATGGGTTTCAAATATTTTGGTTCCTTGGATTTAGATCACTCTAAAGCTTCCATTTTGAGATAATAGTACCAAGATTACAGGTGATATACCCAACCGATAGTTGAATAAATATTACCAAAACACAGGGCTATTTTTTAAAAAACGTCTCCGGTGGGAATCGAACTCTAGACCTGCCGCTTGGGGTGACAATTTAACAACTACTCTACGTCACCACACCCTTAGGATGTTTGGATTTTATTATATAGTTTTATAATAATCAGGATAAATAACATTTTGAAAAACTTCATTGTCAGGTTTATTATAATACTTGTCAATAGTGTCATCCTAACATAAAGCATTTTTATGATTTTCTTGATTGATAATATTATTATTTAAGTCATTAAACAGATGCATTAGTTTAATTGAACATGAACAGAGTTCTGAAGGCGCAGATAGAAAATAATATATCAACACAGAGTATCTGGTTAGAGGATATTGTAATAATAATATTATTAGTTCTATTGTACCTAATCTCTGTGCTATCATATATATACGTGATGGAGATTAGACAAAATAGGATTATTATTATTTGTAGAATATAAATATAGTAATTAAATTGACCATTTATCTTTTATATAGTTAAAGTAAAAAATATATAAGAAAGCCTATATGTATTTATCATAGTATTAACTTGTAATTGTTTTTTTTAAAAAAATGAGCAGCTATTCAAGATTAGAATATAAAGTAGTAGTTTTAGATTCTTCTAAAATATCCTAATTTTTATAAGAACTTTTGGTGATAAGATTAGCTTGTGTTAAATTAGCAATATTGTTAATAGCCTGGTTTGTTAATAATCTATATCAATTTTGGATCTTATACTTTTTTTTGAGATTTAAGTATGACTAATAAGGCTAATACCAGTATAATCAAAAATGAGAGTTAGGTTATAATATTCTTAATTTTATATATTTCTCATAACTATCAGAAGATAAACAAAAATTTAGAAGTTTTCTGATATCTTCATAATAATCTAGCCTAAAGAAAATAAGTCTAAAAATATTAAAGCTTCAAGATTTAGATTGCTAAATAAGATAAAAAGGTTAACATTGTTATTTATTATCGAACTGGCTATTAAGTAATTATAATTCAAGTCTTCATCATGAATTTCTTGAGGAAATAAATTATTAGCAACAACCAAGTCAGGCGAGTATAAGGTTTCATCAGGAAGAGTACTTCAGTAAAGATTTGAAAAAATATCTGAATTTATAATAAATTGTCAAGCTAGGGTAGTAGGACAGGTATAAGGTCTTTTGATCTTAGGTTAGTAATAATAAAATTAGATGCATATCTTTAAATAAGAAGATTATTTTGTTTGAGCTATTCAGAAGCAGAAATTAGCAAATTATGAAACAAATTAGAAGATTTATTGATATTTAAATAAGTGCAAACTAAACCAAAATACAATTTTAAGAAGTGAGAATTATACAAAACATTGATAGTTCCTTGGAGATAATGATAGTTAGTATAATAATTTAAGTCTATAGTATGATCTAATGAACAGTTTAAGTAAATAAAATAATAGATATCTTCTGTAAACTATAGGAATATTACTTATTTCAGAAGGAATTGATGATAATATCAGAGAATAACAATATGTTTTTTGATTTTTACAACAGTTATAAACAGCTACTTGTTTTTTATCTTTTTTGTTTATTTATATACATAAAGAAATATCTGAAAATATCTGTATTGATGTGTAAGATTCATTATTATTATAAAAAATCTGCACAGTGGCTGATTTCATCATAAGTATTAAACAATATGTATATAGAATATTTGGATAATCGAACAGTATTTTATTTTAAAATTTATTTAAAAGTCATTCAAAATTAGGAGATAAAACTTAGAAGAAATAAATTAGAAATTAGAAAAGATGAAAAACTTATGTTATCATAAGCAGAAATATCTACTTGGATTGGTGTGTTCAACAAATTTTAATTAATTTTATTTTGACAGAAATATAGTTCAAAAATGAGATGAGGGTCAATGAAGTCTGAGATTTTTTTAAAATGATTTGTCATAGTAATATGAAATATTAAATATTATTATAAACAAATTTATATTGCAAGAGAAAATAAAGGTTTGATAGTGTGGTGTTAATTAGAAGATTAAATATTTTTTTTTGTAAAAAAGACAAATAAACTATATTATTTATAACAGTTTTGTTAGTATAAATAAGGAAAACATCTTAAAAAAGAGAATGCATATTTAATAAAATATCAAAGAAACAATATTTTTAAGTTAATTAGTTTAATAACATAGGCACTTATTATCTAGTAAAGACGATTGAGATTAATGATCTATTTATTATTATTTGTATATCAAGTCAAGAAGTAAATCAAAACAAATAGATGATTAAAGATGAGCAAATGTTTGATCTGAGTAAAAATTTTCAAAAAATATACAATAACAGCATTTTTAAAGTAATTAAACCAACTTATGATTAATGATATTTAATCAAAATTCAAAATTCTCATAACAAATACAATACAAAAATAGATCACCAAGTGAATTAAATTTACAAAGTTGATTCTTCTCAAAATAAACATATGATTGAAGAAACACAAACTGATTTATTTTTATTAAAAGAAATTTAAATAATTAAACATTTATTGACTAAGCCAGATCAACAATACAAATATCATCAAATTTATTTCTAATGTAAATCTGAAGATTAAATATCAATTAGGATTAACAATAATCGATTATTGCTTGAAATAAGGAAAGAAAAAAAGTAACAAAATAAAAAAAAGAAAAAAATTCTTTTTTTATACAAAAAAAGATCAATTATCTTGTTTGGTAAGATCAGAATTTTTATCTGAGATAGGGGTATTAGATTTGATCTGCAAAGCAGCTTCTAAAAATTGATCATTTGATAACTTGTCATTTTTTGGTACTTTCAAAGAAGAAGCAACTAGTGGATTTGTTCTAATATGTTTATTGGAAGCTTAATATACATTTTATTTATACCATCCAATTGATTATCAAAATTATCTTGAGAGGGCGCAATTTTATTAACCAACACATTAGAAGATTTATCCATATAGTTCTATTTTATATCAGATACTACAATATGCAGAATTTTACTTGAACCTAATTTTAATCTTTCTACAACTGAGATAACAGTTCTCAGAATATTGTCTTTTAACATATTGTATCTACCATATTCATTGCTATATGAAACAATTACATTCGAATCCAAATTTCTGTGACCCATAACCCATTATAAGATTTTCTAAGTAATTTGAAACTCTCTCTGCCTCCATCATTTTCAATATAAAAATTGGGTACTACAGATGAAGAGTAAATTAATATCGGTGCTAATCAGAAAAGATTATTGTGGGTTAATTCAACATCACTATCGGTGGGTGGTATACTTTGAATCAAAGTGACTTTAAAAAAAAAAAAATTAAATATACTAAATTTCAAAGCAAGCATCTTTACATATACATATTCAATATTATCTTTATGTACTGTACATATCATCCTATAAACAAAATAATCTAATTTTTTTTGAATTCAATAATCAAATTATCTGGATTATTCATAAAACTCTTATTGGTAATCTGCTGTAATAATCTTTTACTTTTATTGATTCAATAGTTATTCGATAAACTATTGAATCAATAAAGTTAAAAGATGATTAGCATATGAACGTGAACCGGTACTCGAGTTTATTTGTGTCCGAATTAACCCGATCGGAAATGTCGTAAGGTGATTTTCATGCCAAAGACCCCACATGATTAATAGGTGTTGATTTTATTTTTCTTGCTTTAGAAGTTTTTTTCCATTACTTGCATTTGAAAAACATGCCTGATATTAAAGGTATTCGAAATTAACTTAATTCCTGTTTTACGATTTGTGGAAATAAGTTAATGCTGTAATAATTGTAAATTCGATATTACGACAAAAGTTTGTCTTATTCAGTATTTAACTTGGATAAATATTTTTCTTTTTTTTTTCTTGTAAAAATAAATAAATAAATAATAAAATTCAAAGGTTATAGGGTGGAACATCATGTGACTAAGATCTCGATCGTTGATTACGATGGTTTTTGTATTACAATTCATATGTGAAAATCGCATCAAGTGATATAAATAAATACTTAAAAAGTTTGATAAGTTCACGTGTAACATATTCTTTCGTTGTGTCCAAATGTCAATTATAAAGCAGTCAGAAAAAAACGATAATTTAATATATATTACTAAAATGTATAATGAAGTTAACCAATTCAGTTTAAAAGATAAGTCACGGGATTTACTTAATGAAATTATTAAAGAAATATATGATTTGTATAATAGGGAACTTTCGAAAGGCAAAAGTTTTCATTTAATGATTGACGCTTTAGAACAATTTCTAGCAAAAAAAAAGCAAAATCCAGATAATATCATCCAATATTGCTTAGCTAATCAATTAAATCCTATAGTCCAAATCATTCTTGCAACTTGTTATCGTTGTGGTAAATGGATTGAAAAGAATGAAAATAAGGCATTCATTTATTATCAACAATCTGCTAAAATGGGTAACTCTCTTGCTTTATTTGAGGTTGGAGATTGTTATTTTAATGGAATTGGAGTTAAAAAGAATCAACATAAGGCATTCATTTATTTTCAAAAATCTGCAAAGATGGGGAACGCTGTTGGAATAAATAATGTTGGATATTGTTATCTTTGTGGGCATGGAGTTAAAATGAATGATCATAAGGGATTCATTTATTTTCAAAAATCTGCAGCGATGGGGAACGCTCGTGGAATGTATAATGTTGGAGTTTGTTATCAATATGGAATTAGAGTTAAAAAGGATAAACAAAAGTCCTTTGAATATTATTTAAAAAGTGCTGAATATGGAGATTACTGCGGAATGCATCAAGTTGGTTGGTGTTATCAGGAAGGAATTGGTGTAGAAAAGAATAAAGATTTGGCTTTTGAATGGTATTTGAAATCTGCTATTGCTGAACACAATTGTGATATTCATGAAAACTATTTCCAATGGATAAAATACGATGATTTTAGAAATATTAAAGAAATAGGTAGCGGTGGGTTTTCAGTAGTGTATAAAACACCATATGGAACATATGAAGAAGTTTCAATTAAGATAATTAAAGATTTGCATAAAAATAAGGAACTTTTTTTGAATAAGGTAATTTTTTTTTGCGCGTAAATTTATTTTGTTTATGAATTAATTAAATATAATTTGTTTACTTTTAGATAAAAGCGCATCACGACATTGGTGAACACTATGGCATATTAATGAATAAAAATACGGAAGATTTTATTTTAGTGTTAAATGATGCAAAATTAGGATCATTACATGAAAATCTTAAAGATATATTTAAATTATTTCTAAGATTAACCTCAACAAACTTTATGACACAACCTATGTAGTTAGTGTTTATCAAGCTGCTAATAAA